GTCTTTGAAATAAAGCAAAAATTAACATAAAAAGGGGTTAACATAATGCTCGATTTTAAGGGTTAATTGTGTGAGTTAAGAAAAATAATTATATTTTTTAGTGTCACGAAATTTACCGTTAGCTTTTTGCGTTTATAAAAATTTGGAAAAGCTTGCGGTTTCGGAAATATAGGGTGTCAAAAATTCAAATTTTACGATTTTCAAGAGGTGATAACTTGAGAGGGGGTGGAGATGGAAAAAAAATTTCTTCTAACGAAATGAACTATTTGTTAATGTCTAAAAGCCCCTAAAATTTCAAAGTTCTAGAATATAGGATCTAGAAGAAAAACGACATCAAAAATTTGGCAAAAAAGGACTTTAGATAACGGTAAATTTCAACGGCCATTTTGTTTTTCTAAAGTTTAACTATAGTATACCGCGCTAGGGGAAGCAAGCCGCTGCCTTTCTGCGTTTGCAAAATTTCAAAAATACTTATGGTTTCATTGCAACAAATATTTAAAAAAGGCCATTTTTAGGGTTTTGGGGGGGTATAACTTCTAGAGGGGGGGAGATAGGTAAAAATTTTGTTCTACGGAAATAAGTTTCTAGTAAAGATCTATGTATATATAAAATTTCAGCTTTCTATCTTCAAGGGTGTAGAAGTTTTGTAAACAGACACACGGACGGACGGACGGACGGACGGACGGACGGACGGACGGACGGACGGACAGAGTGAAACTAATAAGCACTTTTTTCAAAAATTTTTTTGGAAAAGTGCTAAAAACACTTTAAGTTATATGACAGCTACCCGAACCCGTTGTGCGAATTGATCCAATTATCATAGCAGGCGTCGTTTGCACAAAAGTAACAACTTGTGAAAATTTGGAGCCGATTGCATTATTCGTTTTTGAGTTATCGTGCAATCGGACGAACGGACATGGCTAAATCAACGCAGAATTTTACGCTGAACAAGAATATATATATATATATGACCATACCGAAATCGAATCCTTCAAGTGGTTACAAACTCCATACTAAAGTGTAGAGTATAACATTAAAATTAGAAGAAGGCTAAAATTTGTTTCAAAAAATGAGAAGTATTTGGAATTTTTCAAACAAATAATTTATGAACGTGTAAAGGAACACAATACACAAGAGATACAGTTCATCTAATTAAACTAGTGTTATGTGGATTTGTGTGTATTAATGAAATTTGTAACTCTTCAATGCATAAATTTTAAGAATGGTTCATACTCAAATAAAGAAACAATAAATTACGGAAAATTTGGTCCAGTGAAATGGGAAGATTTTAAGGAAAAATTAGAGAATTTTGTTCTTACTGCTCTTATTATTCGAAATTATTTTTTTCAATTTGGAATACTATAGAAATAAGGTCTTTATTTTATTTAAGAAAAAAAAAATAAATAAAACTCAATAATATTTTTATTGCAATCAATAATTTTGACATTTTCTGCTGGTTTGGTCTTGGTCTTGGTGCAATTTAATTTCGCTGTGTGGTTACAACAAGTTTTTAATTTCCTATACAATATTTCAAAATCAATATAACGAACAAATTGCAAAAAGGCTATTATGTTGACATTTGTGCTTCTGTTTTGCTGTTCCGAAGAAAAGTTTTGTATGTTGTCCTTGACATTGAAAAATAACAATAAATTTGCTTTTTGAAAATTTTAAACTCTTTTGAAAACATAATTAAAAACTAATTCTTAATTTCGAAAAACCAAAAAATACTTGATTCTCAAATTCTATGAGTTCACACTACACCATATGTCTACACGCAGTTTTAAATATCAAGGGCATTAATAAATTATATAAAACACTATAATTAGCATTCACTTTAATTTTAAGAGTTTTTAACATAGAAAGAATGTGTACATACTCACATATGAAAATATTATATTGTTATACTTAAAATTTAAGTGAAATTTAATACAAATTTAAATTACATTCAGAAAATTCTTATTAATTAAAAATTAAAGTAATGTAGTTCAACTAAAATAATTTTGACATAAAATTGTTGGTTCTATGGTTACCATAATTTTTAAAAAAATTCTATAATTAAATTACAAAAACAACAATTATATTTTAAGGTAATTGAAAGCAGGTTTATTTATAAAGTATTTAAAACAAAATATTGAAAGAAATTGACCAAGTACATTATAACAAAATGGCAATTAAACTAATTAAGTTGATTAAGAAAAATACTTTACGAGTATCTATTTAAAGAAAAAATTTGTTTGACAAAATAGAAAAAAATTGAGACATTTTCATGAATTTACTCCTTTTAGTTCTCAATTATCGAGTATAGATTCTTAATCATTTTCCTGTTATCATTCAATGTTTGAAAATTGGGGCTCATCACTCTAATAAAGCACTTTTGAGCTGGATTCAGAAGATTTTAATATATCTTAATGAAATAGGTTTACTTTACAAGTCGAGGGTTCCTATAAAAAGCTCGAAAGTTAATTTACTTTATAAGGTGTAGACGAAAGAAGACATTTGAATTTCAATTGAAATATTCACTTTTATTAAATTTATGTCTTTATCCTACTGTAACTACTGTGCCATTTTATATTCCGGTACAGATTTTCAATTTTAATAAACCAAAATATTGTATGATTTATAAAAAGTTATTAATGCAATTATTTTAAAAATAACTAGAAACCCGCACTCAAACCCAAGGTATATATAAGTTCGTCAACTTGTTCAGAAACTCTCAAGCAATTTTAAAGCTGCTGTTACAATATTAAAAGTTGTGAACTGAATTTCTTTTTATTTTTTGAATAACCATAAAAACTATTTTGTAAAATCAAATTGCATACTTCTATTCTAATTGAATCAGGTTTTAATTAAAAACATTGTATATGTATGTATGTACATAGTCATATTATATAAGTTTCCTGAAATTTATAAAAAAAATTACTTAAATTTTGCATCCTTGTAAAAAGACTAACCCGGCATACATGTGTACGTATTTTGTTGCTCAACATTAATCGTATTCAAACTTTTTTTTTTTGCATTTTCATTTTTATTAAAAATGTTTGATGTCCTCTGAACTAGAAAAATTAGAAAGAGATAGAAATATATTAAAATATGCTAGGACATGTCTGCTTCTTTTTTTTTTTTTCTTGTACAACTTTTTTATTCTTTTGTCACTTATATTTTGCCTTTATAACTTTTTAGTCAAGTGCAAAAATTGTTCCTTCCAAAAAAAAAAAAAATAAAAAAAAAGGATCTCTTTCTTTAGTGTATCGTCAAGTCTGGATAAATTTTTAGTTTTTGTTTTTTTTTTTTCAATTATTTTCTTTTCGTATAGTTGTGTTTTTATAAACTAATTGAAAAACTTTTTTTTTTTCTTAGATATTTTTTTTCCAACTGCCAACATTTTTTCGTATTTTCCTGTACCACTACAACTGTACTGTTTTGGCATGAGTTTATTATTTTTTTTTGTTTTCATTTCGCTGATGATATTATATAACGAGCAGATTTTAACAGTCAGAATTTATATTAAGTTTTTTTTTAAGTACTGTTAAAATGTATACAGCCGGAGTTTTTTCAAGTAAGAGTATATGTATTGCAGAATATTGAAGCGTGAATGGAAATATGGGGTTCATACACATACTTACATATTTTTTATATATACAAACAACTAAATTACCCCCAGCCGGTATGAATGAAGACAACAATCGGCAACCAACAAAAAAAGAGGAAAAACCTTAAAGCAAAATAGTTATTGCGGTTGAAAGTTATTAAAAGAACTTTTTAATGCATAAAAATTATATTTCTTACTAGTGCACTTGCATCATAACATATACATTAATATATTTATATGCATAAACACAACTGTATCGCAGATATGTATAAGGAGTTTTTCTTTACCATAGATGAAATTAAATTAAAATAATAAAGAAGGAAAAAAAATTGATTTTTTTTTTTTGTTTCACTATTTAAATAAAAATAGAATTGAAATTAAAATGAAAATTTATAGAAAAATTATTTTTCTTTTTTTTTTTTTTTAATTTCATTCATTTATGAGAAGTTGGTCCTTCTCAAATAGATTTTTTTTTTTTAGAAATCCCAATATTTTATTTTTTTCTTTTTTTGTTTTTATTATTTTTCATTTTATTCACTTCACATTTAATATGCACTTTCTACTTTTAAATTGACTTTTCGCAAATTGGAGACAACTTTACATGAAAATTAAATAGAGTGACCATATTGACAATTACTAACACCAAGAGATATTTGGAATTTATGAAATTTCCGTGTTATGAGCGAAAGACAAAGTGTTAATTTCAGACAGAAAAAATTTTATTTTGATCAATTTTTCTTTATGAGATGCGGAATTAATCGCAACTTGTTTATCTTCAATGACGAACAAATGTAAATCTTAAATCTTGAGCCGTATAGATTTAATTTTAAAGAAGCAATCATGAAACTGAAGCGTTAATATAATTATAAGACTCGAAATTGTAAAGATCGCGAAACTATAGTCTTAATTTCCACTGGACAGTATACAGAAAATTTTGGCCGGACTAAAGGTATTTAATAATTTATGATTTTATTGTTAAGTTTTATAAAAGCAAACTAGTTAAATTTATAATATATACACTTCATATTATCCTGTTTATAAATATACTCCCAAATTGTTAAAAATTTGCCCCGAAAAGTATTCTATTTCTTAATATTAATTCAAACTTCACAGTTTTATTTTTTTAAGTAAGGTACTAGATATTCATTATCATATTATTTTCTAAAAATTACTACATTCGTTACTAAATAAGAAAACACTTTCATCAGAACATTCAAATTGAAAAGAATTAATCATGATGCAATTTTTATATCTATACCTTTAAAATTATAAGAAAAAAAATGTAATATTTTTTTATAATATTGCAAACAGAAACTTTTTTAAAAGGAGTTTTTGAGAGTCGAAGTGAAAAAAAAATTTCAAACTGTACTATGTATAATATAGCTTAAAAAAGGAAAAACACACAAATTACCTGAAGCTCTGAATACAGATCATTTCTTTCAATTTCAGTTGCACTTTCTTTAAGAGTTTTTACAGCAACTGTCGTTACGCCATCGTTACCTAAAATATATATATATAAAAAAAAATTTATTCAATTAGTTTTTTTCATATTTTATAAAAACTCACATAAAATATATAGAAAAACATACATATACATATATACAGTTACAGACTGAAATATAAAATTTCATTTATATGCATGAATGTAAATTTCATATTGATATACAAACGTACAAATTCATTCATCTCACAACATTTCTATATAAGTATATATGTATATGTATGTATAAAAAATAAATGGAGATATTTGAATTTTTTAATGGAGTACAATTTCCTTCTCTTACACAACTTCATTTGCGGGTGTTAATTAGAAAATTTTGCAAAAATAGAAAATGTGAAATGAAAAATGAATAAAAATTTATAAAAAAAAAGGAATTCAAACGATTAAAATTATTCTGGAAAGCAGATCGATGCATAATGAGCGTAACACTTTGAAATTTCTGTTAAATATTCTTTGCAATTTAAACTTTAAGGTTCGTCTCCTTCCACTTTTTATTATTTTTTTTCTTTTCCTACCATTACATTTTCATTAAAATATTTAAATATATTTTATTATGCGGAATTTTAGTTTTAAATAGCATTTTCAATTGACTGAATCTATACTTGCAAATTGCAGCATATTTAGTTCAAATAAATTTCATAAGTTTTTAAAAATTTGAATTAATTGTGAGGAAATTTTGACTAAAATATCATTTTGCTTATTTGTTTTTATTAAATTGAAGTGTACAGGGTGTCGTGCAAATAATTTAGTAAAAATAATATATGGAAGTTGAATATTTGAGTATAATAAGGAAACATAAGATGGTACATTTGTTCTCAACTTTACACCAAAGGTCAATATACTGTATTATTATAATTAAATGAAAATCAATCGAGAATTAGTTATAATTGGCTTTTAACATAAAAATTCAAATTAATAAATAAAATACAGCGTATATAAGTAGACAAAAAAATTGGCATTTCAACTATGAATACACCAACATATACACATTATTTAAATTAAATGAATTTTTGGGAAAAAATCGTACCACCTTATGGTTGACTTAATTATACCACCTACAATTATATCACCTCATTTAAATATTCACTTTTTGTTTTAAAAGATCTCGTTTCTATGCTCAGATGTTGTACCAAACGCAGTTTATTTTCATTAATTTCAAAATTGTAATTTCAAATTGTAAGCAATAATATTCACTTGTTCTATGACGCGGCCCCCAACTGGGTTCATTTAAACTACTTAGGCCCGATGTGGTTAAACCAATGATATTCATTTCTTCCCTGCTTTTGTTTAGATTTAATTTTAAAGAAAATCATTTCTTTTGATTTCTAACTTATGCAAAACCTTTTATACATTTCTATTTAAAAAAAAATGGTTTCTTATTTTTTTTTTTTTTTTGATTTGATTGTTTCTTTTTTCACTTTAAGTTTATCAAATAATTTGATTTTTATTTTTGTTATTTTTTCCTAAACGCAACACGTAAAACATGTATTGCTAGTAAAAACTAGAAAAAAAAATAAGAAAATATGTAATATTAAGTAACTTCACCTTTGCTAATAGAATTTTTCATCTAAAATAGAAAAATATATAAAAAACAAAAAACAATAACAAAAACTGAAACATAAAAGGGCTAAAGTACTTAAGAATCATGTTCAAAAAACCCATAAACATAATAGATATATCCTTACTTTATACTTGCACCCTTTTAAATTTCTCTCTCTCTCTCTCTCTCTCTCTCTCTCCCTTATTATTAAATCTAATTTAACCCTACATACACATTTATATATGCATATACAAGTATACATACACAAGGACATGTTCTATACTAAAACTAAACTCCTCTATGTAATAATAATAATTTGATTTAAAAAGAGAAAAGAGAAAGAAGAAGAAGAAAAAATAATAAAAATAAATTCTAAGAAAAAAAGAGAAAAACTTTAAGAGGATAACATTATTACTTTTATTATCCTTTTTCATCAAGTAAAAAGGAATATACGCAATCAGGTTATTTTTTTCTTTCATTTTTTACGTTTTGACGATTTTTCTACGTTTTTTTTTTATATTTTGCGCTTTATATAGAAGTTTGTACTTTTCATATACATGTGTATGTATGTATGTATGTTTTTATTTCATTTTTCCATCATAATAATATTAGTTGAACGAAACTCTGGATACAAAATGTAACGAGTCAGTTGATTCAATTTTCTAAAATTTTTTTTTCTTTTTTTGGTTTTTGAAATATCCAACTGGGTTCATTGCAAGAGCAAGATATTTTTCGCCTTTTAAATTTTTTTTCTTTTTATAAACGTTTGAAATGTATGCGTGTTTGTGTGTTGTATTCATATACACATTCATATTTGTATTTCATTGTAATTTTTGTTATTTTTTCTTGTTGATTTTGTCTAGGAAATATTTTGAATCTCCTACGAACACTATAATGCTTTAATGCTATTTACCCATCACTATACTAACTATATAAACTACCATTTCTGTTTTTAATTTTATGTTTTTGTGTCTTTTTGTTTTTTTTTTACCCTAATGGTTTGTTGTATAAGTAAACAGTCCGATAAAATGCCATGTTAGACAAGATGAGTATTTGTTGTTCAGAATTCTTGTTTTCTTTTTATCAGAAAATCATATAAGCTTTTATAAATACATCTTGTATACAATTTTATACAAACATATTTTACTGTATGTACGTGAATGTGTGTATAATATAGGTCACTCATATTATTATTATTTTCTTATATATAATTCTCTATATTTCATATTTTGTACGTACACATGTGTATTAACTCTTAACCATTCACGTATGTAGATATTATAGTATATTTATTTATTTTGTAAATTTCATAACAGCATAATAACAAAAGAGAACAATTCAGCGAACATTAGTTAGTTAGTGAGTTTTCTTTTAGGAAAATAAAAGTAAACAACGTTTATATGAATGATGGTCTATATAGAATGTCTTCTATATCTTTACATATATACATATGTGTATGATAATGGTACAATTTCTATGTCAGTAGCTTTGGTATACATAATATCCGTTTATGTAAGATTTTGTCTTAAATTTGTGTAATTGTATATTTTTTTTTATTTTTGACAAAATGTTTCATTCTATTATTTATATTATTATATCATTATGTTTACGATTATACTTTTAAGTAGTATAATACATATGTATGTATCCTAAGTATGATATAAATATGAAGCAAAACGTTGTGTTGTGATGTTTTATTGGCTTCTTCAATTATTATATTGCGACCGCATCATAAAGGATATTTACTCTCATCTCTCGTCCATATTTTATTTTTTTTTATTATGCAATATTTACAATTATAAGAAAATATACAATACTTATGTCTTTTGTATATACATGCTAGTGTAATATATATGTAACACTACTGTGTTCGTATATGTGTACAGAAACATTTTTTTAATGGTGGTAATTTGTCATAACATTTTATACGTTTGTATGATAGACGAAATATTTTTCTCATACACTTTAGAGATTTTTATTAGTTTATAGTTTATTGTAGAATTTTAGCTGTTTTATTATATATATGGTATACATTATGTAACAAAATATCTGGACTCTATTGTTTAATAAGTTGATTTTATATCTTCGTGTAATTTAAGACATAAGAGAAATTTAAGACATTAAGTATATAAGCATACGAGCTACAATGGAAAATAATTTTGGTTTTTTTAATCTGAGAAGCCCTTGAATTGTTTTAATTTCAGAATAACGTAATCGGATTTGTAATGAACCTCACGAACCTGGTTCTTGTGAACTTTAACAATATATATTGAAAAATAAAATTATTTTTTATCTTACTATGGTCAAGTATTTTTTTTTTAATTTAAATCTCATACTTTTTAATTCGAAATTCTTGCGTGCAACTAAGTTTTGTACGCAAAATGTTCAAGCTCGATTTAATTTTTAATTTTGAAAATTCCAATTACAAATTTTCATTTTTAAATTACATATTTCAATTTCTTTTCTAATTTACTCGTAAAATTTATTTCACACTACTTTTACAATGATATCAAAAAAATTCAAAATTCTTTTGAAAGAATTTTTTATTAGCAATCTTCTAGTTTTCAATATCGAATTAAATGCAATTAGAAATAATACAATGATAGCTTTAGTATTACAAATGTGTTATAGTTTTGCCTTGAAAGTTTCCGCAATATCTAATCTTTTATAATTGATTTCAATGTTATTATGTGAATTTAAGGAACAATGTAATTAAAATGTAAATAACCTTTAAATAATGTCATCAAATCGATACAAGTTTAATTCAAATGATAATGAAAATAAAATCAACATCAAGGTAAATTTTTTATTTATCGCATACATTTAATTTAAAATTTCACATTATTGAGGTAGGTAAAAAACGGCTTCTTTGAATTTCTTTTTGTTTCAATAATAAACTGTTATATTTGAAGGATGAACGAAAAAAATCGGCATTTTCTTTTATAATTTCTTCTCTTATAATCTTTTTAATATATACTAGAAATTTTTGAGATGATCTAATTTTTTGTAAATTGCCATAAACCAGCTTTTTGGTGAGCATTTAATTTATTAACCTTTAATAGAATTTAACAATAGTAAGTAGATACATACTAATACAATACTAACAATATTATGCAAGTATACCATTTATTGACTAAAATTGTTAACTATTCAATCAGTTACAACTTTACTATTTTTTCAATTACTTAAAAAGTCTAATTATTTGGAAAATTACTTTAATAATTTCAAAATTTACTTCTCTTCAAAATGAATTAAATTTGGAATACAATGGAAAAAAGAAAATTCAGAAAAATAATTTTAATTTCTATTCAATAAAAAAGTTCCGATTTTTTACACAAACAACCTACATACATAATATAATATTGAATATTTTTCTATTATATAATTGAAATTAAAATTTCAACGCCAAACAAATTTTAAGAAATTTTTTTCCGATTTCTTTTTTATTTCTTTTTCACT